GAATGATATTCGAGACGCCTTGTATAATATGAATGTGTTGGACTGCGGTTGACTATTCGTATTGTACGGCGGGTTGTTGACGTGTCCGGGGAGGTTCGGGGCGTGACAACATCCATAAACAAGCATAATGTAAAAATAATCATTTAAAGCAGCGGAAATATTTAATACAAGTGTTTATGCCACACTTTGGCAAACATGGGCATACAAGCCCCCAAATAATTATTCAAAATAATATCCATGAGCATTAATTTAAATGTTTTAAAAAAACAGAGGCGGAGGAAGCACGAACCACGTCTTCTCTCCTGAATCTTCCCGAAGCAACGGGCACCGGTGGCAAGCTCAACTCCTACCTGAAACTGTGAGGTGGCCTCCCCCGTGAAGGGGAGGTCAGTAGTTGGAAGCATTTGACAAGTACAATGACAACTATACTAAGTATAATCAATGTTTCAATTTCTAAGACCCTCAAATAGAGTGATATTAGATTATAGGCCATAACCTTGGGTTGCCCTCTTTGAAAATATACTTACTTTATAAATAAAGTCAAGTAGTCGGCCTGTAGGCCCATATGCATCTTAAAAGTCCATCCCCTTTTCCCCCGTGACTATTTGTCACGAATGTCATAAACCTCTTGTAGATTTACTCATAGTCATTTGGGCATTTCCCTATTACATAAAATAAACATCATAGAGCCTCGCTCGGTTATATTACTATATCATGCTAGAGCCATGCTCTTAGTCTCCCTACATCGTGCTAGAGCCTTGCTCCTAGTCTCCCTACATCATACTAGAGCCCCGCTCCTAATTTATCTACATTGGTTAGAGCCCCGCTCTTAGTCCATTTACATTATACTAGAGCCCCTCTCTTAGTCCATCTACATTTTACTAGAGCCCCGCTCTTAGTTAATTTACATTGGCTAGAGCTCCGCTCTTAGTCCATCTACCTTATACTAGAGCCCCGCTCTTAGTTGACTTACATTGGCTAGAGCCCCGCTCTTAGTCCATCTACATTGTGCTAGAGCCCCGCTCTTAGTCACCATTTCAACATGCTAGAGCCCCGCTCTTAGTCACGTTATTCAATCCCTAAGCAATCCTATGCCTAGAATCGGTTTAGTTTGAGTAGCCTTTAGGGCCTACTCCGGTTATACTTAGAGCTTACACATCCCGACCTTAAAGTATCTCTTAGGACTACTCAAGGTATAATTTTCTCACAACCCAACTCATTTGGATTAATCTATTGTTTCTCATATTAACATCTCGGTTAGTATTTCAATACTAGTTGAATAAATTTAGAACAACCAAGTTCTTAACCCAAAGACCCATAGTGTATTTCAATTCATCTTCCAATTCAAATATAATTTACCCTCAATATAAAAAATAACACTTTTACCCATTCATGAATTCCTTACATGAAGCAAAAGTATATTTTATCACCATATTCATAGTTCACTCAACTATCATTCCATCATATTCATAATCACGTATCCATACATAATTCATTTACAATTTGCATATATTACCTCTATTACTCATAAGCAATGGTATTCTCATTTAGGCATTATTAATCATTAATAACCCATGAAAATCACATTTAAATACTTTGGGTAATCTTATGAAATTAACCCAAAAATTATAAGCAATATAGTCAGTCATCCTCACCTTATGAAGTGCTGAAATAGTTGTCTCTGTTAAGCCTTTTGATCAATCCCCGTTCCAAACCGATCGGAGATGAAAATTTTGGACAGCAGCCAAAAGCCGGGCGGCTTTCACAAAAGCCGGGCGGCTTTCGTGGTCTGCAACCACGAACAGCCTCCTATACTTGGCGGTTTCCGACGATTTCGACTCCTATCGATTCGCCAACTCTCCTAAGTTAATTACCACCACTTTATATCAATATTCTACACTTTTAAACGTATAGAACTTCATGTTTAATCCACCCAATTATTTCTTAAAAATCATACACAATAAATACTAGTTAAAGGATGTTTGTTGAGTTCTTACCTCAAACACAACCCTTTTCTTCTTGGATTTCTTCCTTGTTGCTTCCCCCTAGTTTGCTGGTTGTGAGAGCTCCTTCCCCCCACCTTATTTCCTTATTTCTTTCGTATGGTGCAATGAGAAGCAAGAGGGAGCATCCCTCTTAATCAAAACTCAATTTATATGTGGAGTAGGGCCTTAGGAGTTCTCATATGTCTCCTCCTATTCCCTTCACACTAATTAGTCCGCACACACTCACATTTCCTTGTCCCCCTCCCTAATATTTGAGGGTTATTTGACTGATAAAATGCCCCAAGTGGGTGCAGAAAGTCCCTCCCAATTATTCCTGCTATTTTTGGCAGGTTGGGCCAAAATAGTATTTGGGTTGTCCAAACATTTTTTATCAACTTTAGTTGGCACTTTATTGGGCTTCTATAATTATCACGATAACCCAACTAAATATTTGGTAGCCCATTCTTGTTATTATGGACCCGGTATATAATTTAATTAATCGCTCATTAATTAAACACACCAACCCGTTACACGGTTTTATTCGCTAGGAAGGTTCAAATACATATTAAATTTCAATTTCAAGTACATCCGGGTGCGGTGTCACATAGACCACTCACTTGTCTCCCAATAGACAGGCGTTTAATCATAATTCACGGGGAACCTCATCTCTTATTACTGTCTCCTTTCGAGGCAAGTGATACTGACTACAGTGGCCTCAGCCCCATGCCACTGTAGTCAGTATCACTTGTCTCCCAATAGACAGGTGTTTAATCATAATTCACAGGGAACCTCATCTCTTATTACTATCTCCTTTCGAGGCAAGTGATACTGACTACAATGGCCTCAGCCCCATGCCACTCTAGTGAGTAACTGAGTAAACAATTGTTAGGACTTTTTCTGGTGTCCAATCTAGTTAGATGCCTTTGTATTTGTGTAATTACTGTTTAAATGTGTAAATGGGCCACAAGAGCCATATCAGCCCATTAGCCCTCTTGTAAGCCATAAGTTAGCCTCTTTCCCCTATAAAAGGAAGCTAACTTATGTGAAAACCTAGAGAAGGCATAGAGCATAGAGGCAGAATAGAATAGAATAGTTTTAGACTGATCTCTCTCTCTAGAGGGAGAGCAGCGGCCATTTCATACGGTCTACCAAAGTTCTCGACATTCATATATTGAATGAGAATCTATCTGCTTCTTTTATCATTTTAATGATTGTATGATTGTTAGAAATAGGGATCAAACATATGGTATCAGAGCCGAGGCGTGAAATAGATTGGATTCATCTGCGTTTTTTGGATCTGCAAAACTGATTTCTCGAGAAAAACCACTCATTTTGAAAAATTGATTTTTCGAGATTTTTTGTTTGGCTGATATGTTTTCAACAATTTTCTTTGATTTCTGGAACATTAGGATCAAAATCTGTTTGAAAACATCCTCAAATTCTGTTTCTGAAGTGTTTTTGAAAATGGATTTTTCGATGTTTTGTTGTTTTTGAAGCTTTTCGATACTCAAAGGTTCCGACGTTTTGGAGTTTCTCAATGTTTAGTATATTTCAAACTTTGGCTTTTCTCAAAACTCGGGATTTTTCGAAGCTTGATACTTTTCGCAGTTTTCGAAGCTTAAACAACATATTCGATGCTTACAGCTTTTCGATGTTTAAATAAGTTTTCAAAATTCTGAAGTTTTTCAAAGGAAGTTTTCGATGTTCTGAGGTTTTTGAAAAGGCAAAATTTTCGATGTCCTAAACTAGTACGAAACTCTAAAATTTTCGAAGTCTTGAGTTTTTCGATGTTAATCTTTGATATCATGTTTCTTGCAGATTGCAGGTCGAAAACAGGTTTCTCGCCATTTGATGTTCGAGAACAGGTTTCTCGATATTTGAACCCGAAAACAGGTTTTTTGCGGATGAACTTCGAAAACACGTTTCTCGCAGATTGAACTTCAAAAACACGCTTCTCGCAGCTTGAACATCAAAAACATGTTTCGCGACATTCAAATATCGAAAAAGAACTTTTCGATATTCAATATCGAGAAAAAGTTTTCGATATTCAAACATCGAGAAAAAGTTTTCGATACTCATTCATCGAGAAGATGTTTTTGATATTCAACATCAAGAAGATGTTTTCGATATTCAACATCGAGAAGATGTTTTCGATATTCAACATCGAGAAGACATTTTTGATATCCAATATCGAGAAAAAGATCTCGAGATGCAACATCGAGAACCTCACCTTCGAAAAGTTTCTCAATTTTTCAAAATTCAAACTTTTCGATATGCTGCACTGTTTTGGCCATAACTTTTGACTCGGTGATTCGATTTACGCGTATAATACCTTTTCGGAAAGCTCGTGACTTTAAGTACACCCACCGTCCCTTACGTTTCCCTGCGACTAGCCAGCGAAGAAGAACGTCCAGCGCCAAACAGCCAACTTTCCACCTATGTCTTTGTCCTTCGCATCTCAACGCTTCGCATCTTCATCGCACCTTGCCGGTTGTCTCACCGACGTCTTCACCTTTAAATTGGTCCTCTCAGAATCCCCGGCCTACTACCATCAAATCCACGCCGCCGCCCTGTATTCGTCGTTGTGAAGCTGCGCCACCATCAAATCCACAACGCTACTACCATGAAATCCACAATGCTACTACCATCAAATCCCCAACAGAAGATTGGTCGATCGTCGTTTTCCTCTCTTCTTTTCGCAGATCGTCGTTTTTTTTCTCCTGGATCTGACAAATTTTCTCCTCTACACTCCACCATTTCAAGATCTGACAAGAGTCCTCGCAGAATATCATTTTGCATCTCCATCGCGGTCCCCATCTTCTCCTTTCTTCTATGGTTCGGTCTGGCTACATTTACGTTTGAGGTGGTAGCGGGCGGTGTTTGGTGATGGTGTGGGAGAGGGGGTTGCGGGTGGTGCAGCGACGGTGGTGTGGGGGTGGGCAGTGGTGGTGGTGTGGGGCAGGGGAGTGGAGGACATTGATGGTGGTGTGTGGTGTATAGGGGGGGGGGGATTGGTGGTGGTGCAAGGTCGGGTTGTCTAGAGGTTGGGGAGTTGTCACTAGTGGAGAGGTGGAAGGAGGTGATTGGAATATGGAGGACAGTGGTCGGAGGCCGGCGATGGCAGCTAAAGTTACGAGGGTGGCGGCTAAAGTGACACAGACGACTACAGTGACACGGGCGGTGGCTACAGTGACACGGGCGGTGGCTACAGTGACACGGGCGGTGGCTATAGTGACACAGGAGGCGGCTACAGTGATACGGGAGGCAGTTAGTGACATGGGCGGTGGCTATAGTGACATAGGCAGTAGTTACAGTGACCCAGCAATCACTTTTTTGTCTTTTTAAAAAATGGTCACATTTTAGGAAAGTGACTTTAATTTAGTAATATTGAAGGCAAAAACCCTATTAATTACGGAGTATGTTTTTTGAGAAGTGTGGAAGCATATTTTAATCATTGTCGGCTGTATAGCTCCGTATTATTCAGTTATGTGTTCCCATCCCGTTTTTTGGGAAATTGAAAAGCCACATTTTCTTGACACTATTGGCAGCACTACATGTCTAAGAGCATCTCCAATGGAGATGTCCATTGTAGTTCCACATCATCAAATCTACTTTTCAAATACAAATCTCACTTCCAATGCAAAATAAACTAGACCAAGTCTAGATGACATGGCAACTAAAAAAATGGACATGGTCTAAGACAAGGTCTATTTGTGGACCTTGGGTGCCACCGTCTATGCTCATTATGAAGCTTTTCTCTTTCGTATTTAATTGTTTTTTGTTTTGCATTGGAGTATTGTTTTGATAGACCCTCTATTTTGATTAAATCTTGGCCCACATATCAAATAGACCTCATTCATTTTTTGCCACTTCATCACCAATCCACCCTATGGGTTGGAGATGCTCTAAGCAGCTGGATGTGGGAATTCCAAAAGCCACACATCCTTCAGGCGTGTTTGTTTTTTTGAAATATTATTGAGGCATGGTTAAGTTTAAATTTTTGAACAACTTTATCTTGAAAACTGTAACATCTAGCCTTGTTAACCGCACTGCACATCTCACCACAAAATTAATTTATCAACACAAAATTAATTTGATCAACACGTCACCCAAAAATTAAAATAAATAAATAAATAATAAAAAGTTAGCTACAGTGTTTTCGCCCAAATTCTCCCACACTTTTCTGTTTTAATATATATAGATAGATTCACAGTTCCACTTTAGTGCCTCTTAACATACTACACGTGCGTGGTCTAATGAACCAAAATTTGGCACTGGGTTCTTGGGTAGTCTATAGTATATACTCCATCCGTCCCCTTTTAAATGTCTTGTTTTATCATGTTGGGATGTCCCTATTTAATTGTTCCATACCTTATTAGGTAAAGTTTGTGTGGCTCAAAATCATTCTTGCTTTATTCTTACTTTATCAATTAATATCAAGCACGCAAACCCACTTTTCTTAAAATTCGTAACACCCTCTTCCGGGACATTTAAAAGGGGACTGAGGGAATATACTTTTATTTAATTTGATTTATAATTGGTGAAAAGGTAGCGTGAAAATATGATTTCCTTTTGTCCCACAAAACATTGCCCGATTTTCTTATCTAGCCTTAAAAAACTTTGTGATTTCTATTTAAATTAAAGTAATGTATATGTGATTAAAATTGTTCTATTTTGTTTACAATTCAAATTTCGATCATACAATTATTGATTTATTGTTCTACATATAATAATAAGTCAAATTTGAAAAAGTTTTGTGGTACGGGGGGGAGTATATAAGATTATAAGTAACATTGAAAGTTAGAATGATTGATCGGCAAGGTTTGTAAATAGAGCAACACAAGTATCAACCCATATAGTAGACTCAACTTGACGTCATCATCTCAAGTTAGAGAAATTAATCAAATTATACCTGAAATGGTTTATTTGATCGAAAAGAATTAATTCCACTTTAGATCCTCCAAGTTTTACCTTATTTCCATATTTAGTCCTCATCTTTCATTTTATCCATTTTGGTACCGACTATTGTTTTCTTGACCATTTTCAGTCCATCTCTGAGCATTTTTTACTACCGGAAAAGGACTATATATGGTTAAGAAAACAATAGTCAGGTACCAAAAATGAATAAAGTGAAAGACGAGGACTAAATGTGGAATTGGTGCAAAACTCGAAGGACCATAAGTGGAATTTCTTCGATCGAAAATACTGAAAAACGAAAAAAAAATTATCTAAATTAATTTTTGTAAATGTAGTAAAGATAGAACATTTGAAACAAGAAGAAATGATTTTTTGACATAATTAGTCAATTTATTTAGAGCATGTTTGGAAACACTGAAATCAGCTGAATCGGTTGGTTCTGCTGAAATTTACGAAGTTCTGGTTGGAGTGGTTGAATTGACTGATTATGCTGATTTATGAAAATATTATATATAAATATTTTTTATTAATATAATAAATATAGCTAATGGTCCTCTAAAATAGTTTAAAGGGAAAAGGGGCGAATAAGCTAAAATGGTCTTTTACAATAATTTCGGTCAATATAGCTAAGAACGTAACTCCAACGTACCTTACTTTTTCTTATTGTTTCACAATTCAGCATTACGTGTTTGAAGAGAAATAAAGTTGGTTGATAAGTTTGATAAACTGAAAAATTGGACTACCAAACGGGCTCTTAATGCATCTCTTGAAACTTGAAATAACATTTTTCGATTTGAGCTTAAAAAGTTTAACTGAAGCAGAATCATATATGCGAAAACACTAATTTGAACTTTTCTAAAGAAAAAAATTGTGTACAGAAAAGTGAAACGACACACAGAAAGTTGTATTGTACAAGAGATGATCTAAAATATACTCCGTATACGTTAAGTGTGTACATTATACTCGGATCCGTATATGTATAGAATAAAATGAAGAATTCGTTGGGAGCTCCGGAGCTTGGCCATCCCCTCTCCATTTTTGTAAATAAAAAAAGAATGTCCATAATAAGTTGGGAAAAAAGCATAAAATGAAGAATATACGAAGTATATTTGAGTCATTTGAGTGAAATTTGAGTGGCTGGTTTTCACCCACAAAATTATCTGATAATTTCTCCGAAGCAAGCTAGCTAGCAAGGACTCCATCCGTCCGTCCATACCCATATATATTTGGCGGTTTCAGCTCCGGCCCAATGCTTCAAAACTAAGCTAGCCAATAATGGACGTTGTGAAGACCGTTTGGAGAGGTATGAATTTCAAAAAAGTAATTGCCTAAGATAGGAGTAAAACAATTAAGAAGTTCCAATATAGGAGTTGCTATTGATTCATTCCTAAATAGGAGCTTTTTAATTGACTACCCGGTTCATTGAATTGATTATTCCAAATTTACCCTCCATCATTTAATACTCCGTAGTTGTCTCTGTCTTCAATACCTGTCACACACATAGCTGTCAAGCACTCCTTCCACCTACTGCTTATCTCTCTGCATACCTACGAAGGTAGTTTTTATTTCCCATGGATTTCAATGTTCCAACTCAACTAATTGATAAGCGTGGATTATATTAAATGCCTCTCTCCTTTTCAAATTAGAAGAGCATGTACAGCAACAAATCCTTCATGTGCTGTGAAGATTTATGGGACGGGGCGCACATCCTAGTCGAGTGGTCGGAAAACAGAGGCGGCATACCAAACCGTGCGGCGGCGGAGGTTGGCGACTGTGTGGCGGCGGAGATAGGTGACTGTGTGGCGGCGGAGCTGGACATCTAGGTGAGTTTTCTTCTCGTGTTTCTTCTTTTTCTTCTGCATCTTCTTCTCCTCCATCTTCTTCTTCCTCTTCCTCCTCCTTGCCCTAGTCCTCTCTTGTCTTCTTCTCTTTATTTTTTTGTTATTCTCCATTAATTTTTTTCATTTATTTTAGATCTAGACTCTAACTGAAAGTTATTAGGAGTAGTTGAGATCTACAAATTTTGGATTGAAAATTATTACTAGTAATTGAGATCTGCGAATTTTCAGATTGAAAATTTTTAAATCAGTTTTTCTATTTTTTCTATTTCTACTAACTTATTTTAAAAAACTTCCCTTTTTTTTTTAAAATGAAAGCTGAAAGAAATATTACATTCTAATCATTCCTTTATCAAGATGGAAATAACGTAATAGTATTGCAAGTATAGTGTCATTTTAAGATGGCAATAAAATCTTTTCTTTTGGTAATTAATGTCATAACACAGTTAACATATCATGTTTTTGACAATTAGTGTCATTTGTGTATGGCACTAACTCCATGATACCTTTTTTTGAAAATGAAAGCTAGAACGTACAAATATTACATTCTAATCATTCCTTTATCAAGATGGAAATACCGTAATAGTATTGCAAGTATAGTGTCATTTTAAGATGGCAATAAAATGGTAATTAATGTCATAACACAGTTAATATATCATGTTTTGACAATTAGTGTCATTTGTGTATGGAACTAACTCCATGATACATGTCAATATATGACATTCCTCAATACAATATTATAATGTCATACCATGTCAAAATGACAATGAATCCTCCTATGTTTTAATATGAATGCCATTATGATGACATTCAAGTTATAAAGTGGCATTTTAAATCATTTTTTCAGATTTGTGGGTGGTGGCGGAGTCACAAGAGGCAAGAGTGATTGAAGCAAGGTGAAATATAATCCGGTGGCAACAAGGAATGGGGTGGTCCTGTGACGCAGGAAACGGGTAACAACGAAGACCGGCGGCGTCGGAGACCGGCGGCGTAGGAGACCGGCGGCACCGGAGACCGGCGGCGCCGGGGACCGGCGGCAACGGAGACCGACGGCAACGGAGATGACTAGTGGCAATATTGGCTCAGGCAGCAAAGGAGATGGCGATGGCAGTGATGTTCAACAACGACGGAGACTAGCGGCGGTGATTTCCGACGACGGCGGAGACTGGCGGCGATGACGTCCGGCGGTGATGACGTCCGGCGGCGGTGGCAGGTTTAGGCAGTGTCAGCTCTAGGCGGTGTTGTTGTTGTTGTCCAGTTGTTGCACGTACGAACAAATGTTGGATATGTTTTTATGTATTATTCTATTTTTTAATTTAATAAACATGTAGGGTTTCATTAAGGGTAATTTTGTCTACTCATGTTTTTTTACTCTTATTCCATCTTACGGGACATAAGACTCCTACTTTTGCACATTCGTTATGTTTTACTCCTAATCAGGGAATTATCTCATTTCAAAATCGTTAAATTCTAAATTAAATGAAGCTGGTAAATTTATTAGTTATTGTAAGTATATAGTTTCCAAAATTTTAAAACCCCATCTAAAGATTTTATGATTAGTATTCCGATAGATTAACCTATGAAACTCAAACTAATTAACCCCCCAATTTCCTAAATATATTATGCGGAGTACGGAGTATTATATTAGTGATGACCGGAATTTATAATATGGTCGCTTAAGAGTTATATGATCGAGGTGCGTAGGAGTGTATGACATAGAATATATATAGGGTGCTTGGATCTAATTCTTAAAAATGCTTCTAATGAAATACAAGTAGTAATCACTACAAAAAAACATGCTTGTAGTCACGGACTGTAGTCACGGATTTGGTCCGTGACTAGTTTGTCACGGTCGTAGTCACAGAATAGTCACGGATATTTTAAAATCTTCCGTGATTAAAATCTTCCGGTAGCCCCGATTGCGTTCCCGGCGTGCCTTATTTCATTCCGGCGGACTAGTCACGGCCAAATCCGTGACTACATCCTTGACTACAAAAAAAAATAATTTTCTAGCTCCCGGGAATTACTGCGCAATGGCATTTTGTACCAATTAAATTAGTCACAGTCATGTCCGTGACTAATGCCGTCACTAACGTTAATAAAATTATTTGCACGCGCCATTTACACGTCACTTACACGGTTTGGACACGTAATCTACACGGTTTTACTTAGTGACGGACAAATCCGTGACTAAGACCGTGACTAACTTTTTTATATATGCAAGACCAACTCATTCAGCAGAAGAGCCACACCAATTCGATCTCAGTACTATATAATACAGTATTTGCTTCTACGACGAGAATGTAGTCTATCCTGTGCCATTTTCCTTGTTTATGCAGATAAGGTATGTTATTTGAATTATTACTTGTATTTATAATTAGTTGGTTAAATTTAAATTATTAAAACTATTAAATTAGTAAGGTTGTTAATTAATTACCAACATATTTAACTACAAAAGTAGTGATCTCATAAAATTAGTTAAGGTTTACAAAATAATTTAATTAAAATTGGTTAGCTAAACGTAGGTTTAAACGTAGTGATGCATTAAATAAAATTAATTACATAAACGTAGGTTTTAACTAATTAAGTTAGAATCGTTAAAGTTTTGATAATATTAGTTAAATTTAAATATTAGTTAATTGAAATGTGTATTAAAAAGGTTGTTAATTAATTAACGAAAAGAATTATTTGATGTGGTTAAACGCAGATTTAATTTAAATGCAGTGTTAAATTACTTAAATATTTTATAATATTAGTTAAATTTAAGTATTAGGTAATTACTTATATTTTGTGTATTATTATTGTGAATTGTGTGCATTTTATTTAATTTAGTCAAAATTAGTTAGTTGATTATTTAGTGATATGAATTACCTAAAATTAGTTAAACGTGGTATTATTGTTACATTAATTACCTTGGTTTTGAACGTAGTTATGTGTTCATTAAGTAAAATTAATTAGTTAAACGTAGTTTTTAACTAATTAAGTTAGATTCAATTCGTTAAACTTTTGATAGTATTAGTTAAATTTAAATATTAGTTAATTGAAATGTGTTTAAAAAAAGGTTGTTAATTAATTACCGAAATTAATGAATTACTTAAATGTAGTTGATATAGATTAAATTTAAATGCAGTGTTAAATTACTTAAATTTTTTATAGTATTAGTTAAATTTAAGTATTAGGTAATTAGTAATTACTTATATTCTGTGCATTATTATTGTGAATTGTGTGCATTTCATTTAATTTAGTTAAAATTAGTTAGTTGATTATTTAGTGAAATAAATTACTTAAAATTAGTTAAACGTAGTATTATTGTTACATTAATTACCTTGGTTTTGAACATGTATAATTTTTTTTATAATATTCAGGCATAATGTATAAACAAAATAGAAGTTGGATGTATGATAAAGATGCGGTGTTGTACGGAATGCAAACAAATTTTCTCGATGGAGTTGGGAAATTTATTGAATTCGCACTTGAACATCCGGCTTATATGAGTGGTGATAAAATAAGATGTCCATGTTCAAAGTGTAAAAATCTCAAATTTAAAGACCCACACGAAGTTGGGTATGATTTGTACGCGGTCGGCTTTGTTCCCAATTATTATAATTGAACTTCTCACGGCAAAGCTTTGGATCCATCTGTTATACCACAAACGGTTGGTTCGTCTCGTTACGTCCCTCCAAAGATGAGTGGGTGGGGAGACCGTGCTGAAATGAGGTGGGAACAAGAAATGGTATATGACGCATACGGTGTACCGATGTCTCAGTTCAACCCCCCACAACCATCTAATGACCCCCAGGAAGCCTCGACCTCGTATCAACCAGATGCGGATGAAACCCCGTCATTTTATCAAGCTTATGTGGATGAAGGTTTGGCTGAGAGATTTCAGGATGTTCTAAAAGCTGCTGACCAACCTCTGTATGCTGATTGTGAAGGATACACTTAGCTATCCGCCGTTACAGAGTTTATGAACATAAAAGCCGAATACAGTCTCCCTGAAACTTGCATGAATAGAGTCTTGCAGTCAGTAGGAGGGATGCTACCGCGTGATCATACCCTTCCCGATTCATATTACCACATGAAGCAGTTAATGTCTAAGTTGGGGCTACCTTGTGTCGAAATTGATGCGTGCCCGGAAGGATGTATGTTGTTCTGGAAGGAGGATGAGACACTTGAGTTCTGCAAGTTCTGTGGTAGAGACAGATACAAACCTGTTTCTCAAAGTAAAAAGAAACCACGACAGAGGTCGGCACTGTCTAAACTGTATTACCTCCCAATATCTCCTAGATTGCAGAGGATGTACGCTTCGACTGCTACTGCGAAACACATGACATGACATGTTGAGCATGAAACCAATGAGGGTATGATGGCTCACCCTTCGGACAGTGAAGCCTGGAGACACTTTGACCGTTGTCATCCCCAGTTTGATATGGAGCCGCGAAATGTGAGGCTGGGATTGTGCTCAGACGGATTTGCTCCTTTTGGCAGGTTTGGGAAGAACTATTCATGTTGGCCGATCATGTTAACTCCTTACAATCTCCCTCCCGACATGAGCATGAAAAGTCATTTCATCTTTTTGTCTTTAATTTGTCTGGGTTCTAAGGATCCTGGAAGAAAGATAGACATTTATCTTCAACCCCTTATCGAGGAGATGAAAGAACTGTGGGCCGTTGGGACACAAACTTATGATGTTTCATCAGATCAAGTGTTTATCATGAAAGCTGCCATCATTTGGACCATTAGCAACTTCTCTGCCTATGGCATGCTTTCTAGTGGAGCACACACGGTCTGATGAGATGTCCGATATGCATGGAGAAATCAGGTGCGAACTGGCTCAGTTACAGTAAAAAAGGAAGTTACTTTGATTGTCACCGCAAATTTCTCCCGGAAAAGCACCGATATCGGAAGGACAAGAAGTCTTTCATTAGAGGCAGAGCGGTACGAGAGAGCGCCCCCCTAGATTGACCGGCGAAGAAATTTATAACCGGGTTCGATGTATTCCTACTGCTATGGAAAAGCCAAACCAGGAACCACATGGGTTTTGTCATACCCATAAGTGGACAAAGAGGAGCATATTCTGGGAGTTGCCATATTGGAAAGACCTTCTCATCCGTCACAATTTAGATGTCATGCACATTGAGAAGAACGTGTTTGACAATATATTTAACACGGTGATGGATTTTAAAGGCAAAACTAAAGACGGTCTTGCAGTTAGGAAAGATATGACTATTTGGTGTGATAGACCCGAACTTTCTGTTGATATAGAATATCAGGGCCGGGAAGTTCCAAGAGCAGTTTACCAGCTCACAGAAGCACAAAAGGAAGCAATATTACAATGGCTTGTGTCTCTAAAGTTTCCATATGGCTACTGCTTCAACTTGTCTAGATGCGTGGACATGAACAAACTTACCACGACGGCGAGCATGAAAACTCACGATGCTCATGTAATCATGCAAAGACTTCTACCAATTGCACTGAAAGAGATGCTCCCTGAACACGTATGGTCCTGCATTACTGAAATCAGTTTGTTGTTTCAGTTGATATGTTCCAGCGTTTTGGATGCGGCATCCCTCCAGAGACTAGAAGAGTCTGTTCCCATTCTGATTTGTAATCTGGAAAAGATAATGCCTCCATCGTTTTTCGATGGAATGGAACATCTTATAATTCATCTTCCGTATGAGGCTTTGACTGCTGGGCTCGTCTTCTATCGCTGGATGTACAGATTTGAGAGGTCAGTCACAATTCCATTTGAAAAATGAATATATTTATTTCATAAGAGCATTAATATATTTACCACTTTTATTTTACATTGCAGATTTCTAGGAGAGATGAAAAAGAAAGTGACCAACAAGGCACACGTTCAGGCTTCAATTTGTCAAGCGTATCTCCAACAAGAAATCTCAACGTTTTCGTCTTTTTATTTCGAGCGTGACGTCATCACCAGAAGGAAGAGACCTGCCCGGAACGATGACATTGGCAAGGATTTATATGAAAATGTAGTTTCCATCTTCAATTACCCGGGCAGAGGTAAAGGACGTGCGACACAACGATACATCCTGGGTGGGGAATTACAAATTGTGCATACTTATATCCTCATGAATTGTCCAGAAATCTTGCCGTTTTATCAGTAAGTTAAATTTGTAGTTATATTTCTAATACTTATTTAATAAATTTGTAGTTTATTTATATTATTTTTATTTTTGGCTTCACAGTGAATTCAGAGCTTCTTTATCAGCCTTTCCTGATAATGAAATTGATGCAATGGTGGACTCTAATGTCATACCGTGGTACAAGCATCAGGTATATATATACACACATTAATTATATATATTATTAAGTAAGATGTTTCAATAT